GTATTGTTTAACATTTAGAAACCAAATATTTATTCACCTGTCAGTCACCTCTTGCAACAATACTGTGTACACTTTTTCATTCTTGAAATTGGTAGTAAATGACCTAATAATACAGAATTTGTTATTTTATTTTAATTGGACATGCAGTGTTTCGATTTTCAGCTTCTTCAGGAGCATTCCACTAAAACACAAACTGTAACTGACAGTACAAAGCTTCAACTGGTTTAAATGATAAATTCTAATTGAATCTATAGCATGCATTTCTACAGTGTGCAGTTGACATATTAAGTAGTAAAGCTTATTGTTGAAAGAATTGAATAGTTGAATTCATAAGCTGTTACCTGTATTAAAAAAAATTATAAGTTACAGATTGAAACAACGAAAGCTAAGATGAAAAAGTAATTATAATTATAGGCACCATCTTTGTCCCTGTTCATATATGGTCATAGTTGTTCAACGAGGAGAGCTGCTTTAAATTTTCTGTAAGTGTACTTGATAGCTTCAGTAAGGATTTGCACAGAGAATGGTGGATTTGTGTTAGGTGTTATTTGTCCATGATTACTTAGTAAATGATCTGTAACTACACTTCATTCATGTTGTTGTTTATAAAGAGTCAGTATGTTCCCTGATGAATGAATAACATTATTCAAGATGAAGAAAACTTGGCTAAACAATAGTAAGGAATAAATTGGTATGTCTAAATTAAAACTTTATATAGTTTTATTTTGTGCAATGTTTTGGGAAGATGCTCTTTGTCAGGCAGTAAAGAACGTCTTTTTTTCCTAAAACATTGCACAAAATAAAACTGTAACAGTTTTTATTAGACATGTCAATTTGTTCTTTATTATCTTTTAACCAATATGTTCTCTTATCTGTGTGTGTAGGGTTTTTCTGGTTTCCCCAGTATACAAACATGTGGAAAACTGTGTTTTATCCTCATGGTTTATATGTTCTTTTTTTTTTCATTTTGAAGGTGTGATGTTAATTTTTGCCCGTTATAGTCCTTGAAAATTTTTTGATGGAAAAAAAGTAGCTATTTATTGCTCACAAAGAGTGACTTTAGTTCAGAGTGTAGTGTATTTTCACTGAAAGTTCAATTGATTCTTTTTAGTTATCGAATAATTGCTCCTTCAAAGTTTTTGTATGACACCACTTAATTGGAGATACAATTTGTTGTCAAGACAAAAATATCCATCGTAAAATATGAAATATACAATTTCTTTGACAGTGTCTATTACCAGTTTATACATCTCCAAATTATTTATGTGATTCAGTATGAATCTATATACCCATCTATATAGATGGGTAGAGAGTTACAACATCTAATTTAAAGAGTATTGTTGTGTTTGTCAATATGTGAGATACATCTTTGATTCACACTAGCAGATCTTGTGTATTGTTCAAGCGTGCTAAAACACAATTTAGTAACAGCATTAAAATTGTACGCAGAAGCCAAGACAGCCTTTACTATGAGTCTTAGTGCATAGTTAGTTTATGTTCTTTGTTTAAACTGTATAATTTTGGAATGTGGCTATTAGAGGGTTTAAGTTCATCTAAAAGCTTCTTATGAAGGTTACTTATTTTTCTAAGTTCATAAATAATCTCATTGGCTTTGGTCTCAGTTTGTTTAGTTGGATCACTGTAAGTATTTGAAATTTATTTTCATCTTTTAGGTGATCATTAATTTTTTGTTTGTAAATGTTTCTGCTCATAACCACAAACGTTTTTATTTGATGATATCTTTTTTTTAAAGCTTTTTAAGGGCTAATTGTTTTTGGGGATGTCACTTAGTTTGGCCTGATAATTTTTAAAACATTCCTGATTTTTTTTTCTCACATTTGCAATTTTGTTTCAGTATCGTTATTAGGGTAGGGAGGTTGTTTATTGTTGGTACCAAAAGGTTGTTTTTGAGACATTTGGAAGTTGCATGATTTATTACATCTATAGTTGAACAGATTTCAGGAACGAAATTAATGTCTGAATTTATGTTATCAGTTTTTATATTGGCTGTAGTAAAGGTTGAGTTGATGATATTCTGCTGTCTATGACAGTTGCTCTTGCTGTTGCTTTTAGTAAGCAAATGTTTAGTTATTTCTCTATTTTCATAGAAGTGGTTCTGTTAAAACACCAGAAGTCACGCGACGCTGAGAGCATGCGCGCTGGAGTTTCTAGAAGGATCATGAATTTTCCTGGCAACTCTAGTTTGTTCGAGGCACCCTCTTTTTTAATATATAAGCCTGGTGAAGAAAACCAGCGCAATCGGGGGAAGATAGATTGAAGAGATAGGCAGATAGATCAAAGAGATAGATAGATAATTGAGTCAAGCATCGTAAGTAAAGTGTGTGAATCAATGTGATTTATAGCGTGTGTTAAGGTTGTTAAGTTTAAAGTGACTGTGGAAATTCTGTGTATTACTAAAATTTGTATCGAGAAAGAATAAACTAGTTTTAATCAAGAAAGGACTTGTATCACTGAAGTTCCTCAGAAAGAATTTCCACCGGAAATTAACAAACAAGCAGATATGTAACAGTTCCATTGAATAGAATAAAAAGTTTGCTCAAGGGAAGCCAGTGTGTTTAAACACACTTGGTTGGAAAGTTTAGTTGTTACTGCAAAACCAGGCTTTGGTACATTGTTGAAATGTTTGGACTGTAGAACCATGGTCTTTCTTCTTTAATGAACTTTTTAGACTTATTAAATTCCATAGATCCCAACATACAATTCATTGAACTATTCCGACCATATAATTGGTGCCTATAATTATAATTATTTTACTTTTTCATCTTTTGTTATTTAAATCTGTAACTTAGATACAACTTTTGTTAATTCAGGTGGCATTTTATTATTTCAACAATAAACTTTAGAAATACACACTGTAGATTCCATTAGAATTTATTATTATAAGCTTTCTACTGTCAGTTATTGTTTGTGTTTTAGAGGAATACTCCTGAAGGAGCTGTTAAGTGAAACATTCATTTTCTAATTAAAGAAAATTAAATTTGATGATACACGGTCAGTTATTACTAGTATTAGAATGTCTTTTGTACATCAATATGCACTATAGAAATTAAATGAGTTTTTCCTTCTTGTTATTCCAGACAATTCAGTATTGTTTTACATGTTTATAAGTGTGCTTTACAACAATATTGAGGTCTTAAATGTTTATCTATAACCACTCAGTTACTCAAATGCCTTTTAATCAATCAAGAGCGATGAATAATTATAACTGATTTTATATATTAGGTAAACTAGTATTAGCCAAACTAAAAACCTCATATTTTTTTTAAATTCTTCAAGTGGTCTAAATTTAAATTCAAACAACATAAAAAATGGGAAAAACATAAATTTATTTTGTAATCCATTAGGTAATAAATAAGAATAATATTATAAAGTGCATTCAGATAATATAGTATTGGGTTAACAACTAACAACAATGTTTAACTTCATGGTATGTGCAGTAATGTTTCATTTTTACAATGGTATGATACCAGTTAATTTTTTAAAAGTTAGCTGTGTAACAATATTTTTATATGAAAGAAGAGACTTCTACTGTAATAATATAGTATTGTGGATTAATCAGTGTTGACCATGTATCCCTAGAGTAATCTAAATAAGTCAAAGTTAAAATAACATTCAATTATTCTGTAAATTATTATTTCGGTGGGGTTATAATCCAGCCTTTTCAAAGCTTATATCTTTATATCTAGCAATGTGATTAATATAAAAATGAAACAGAAACAAATATTTCAAACTTTTAAATTAAAGTTGAATAGTTATAAATACTTGTAATGATACTTAACAAAACAGTGGTTACACCCCTAGTGGAAATTCCCATAGGACTGCCATTGCAACAGATTAATTGATTCATATGGTAATGGGATTTTTTGGGACACTTCTAATTGGTTTTAATGGGCACTGGTTCTCCAGTAGGTCCAGTGGGTTTATCTTTAGATCCCAATAGGTAATTTTCATGTCATTTTTCAATAAGCCACTGAATAAAACGACAAAACCGTTATTTAAAGTGTCATTCCTTTATTTAAGCCCTATCCTGGGTACCCCAACTTTTTTTTAAATTGCCTATTTGTCCTGATGTTTTTGTTTTTTTTTTGCCTACATACTCATGATAAAATGTTAAGTAATTGTGTATATAATATTACTTAATATCAAATATTATAACATTAATCATATTAAGTAAAAAAGAAACATAATTGGATTTTTTAATCTCTCAACATTTTGTCTTAGCAGGTACCAGTGAAACAATGAACTTTGCTGAGAGAAGTTATACTACTACAGAGTTAAAATGTCTAGCCATAGTCTGGGCTGTAGAAAAGTTTAAGATATACCTAAATGGAGAAGAATATGCAGTGATAACTGACCATGCTGTCTTGAACTGTTTACAGACAGCTCAGAAGTAAACTGTTAGACTGATGCATTGGTCATTAAAGTTGCAGGATTTAACATTTGAAATACTTCACAGAAAATGAGAAGAGAACCAATTACCTGATGCCTTATTTAGACATCCTACTGATCCTCCAGAAGAAACTCCAGGTTTGGATGTCAGTAAGCTACGACTTAAACTTTTTGCCATTGTCAACATTAGCACTTGTTGACATTTGGCTACCGAACAAACTAAAGATATGAGTATAAGCATGTTTACTCTTTCTTGAAAACTGAACAGTTGTCAGCTTATTCTAATATAGTTACAGAGACTGTAAATATATCCAAACACTGTGTCTTAAATGACAATGTTCTTTATCACACAAAAAGAGTTGCTAGAAGTGGTGAATACAGACCATTTATTCCCAAAACATTAAAACTGGCATTGATGATAGAATTGCATGGTCATCTAGTTGTTAGAAAAACAATAGACAAAGTATCCAGATGTGGTTACTGCTGAAGTATGAGACAGGACATTAAAAGTTATGTTATCATGCCATGTTTGACAAACCACCAAACATGATCAAAAATGGCCAGCAGGATTTATGCAAATCATTAGACTAATGGAACCTGTTGGGAAAACAGGAGGAGCCATCATAGGACCTTTTCTTAAATCTAGTACAGGGAATAGTTATTTGTTAGTTGTAACAGATTATTTCAGTAAATGGGTCAAATTATATTCTCTCCAACAAATAACTACCAAGATGATAGTGAAAAATTAATTAATAAATACTTGTGTAGATATGGTATTCTAAAGACTTGTATTCAATATTGGGCTCCAATTTGTGTTGTGGCCCGGCATAGCCAGGTGGTTAGGGGACTCGACTCGCAATCTGTGGGTCGCGGGTTCAAATCCCTGTCACACCGAAACATGCTCACATGGTGTCCGGACTAGGACGCCAGTCCTACTCCTGGATACTCACCTCCAAAAGAATTTGGAGGTGTAAGAAACACCATAAGAAACTACTATTTGTGTTGCATTTGATGGATGAAGCATGTAAAACTATGGGAATTAAAACTATCTTTACAACTCCATATCATTCTCAGTCTAATATTACTGAAAGAGTAAATAGAAACATAGGTAGAATGATATTTTCTTACATTGAGATTGATGTTTGTCCCTAGTCCTGGCCAGTCACAGGTTTAGTAATTGTTTTTTGTTTTGTTTGTAAGTGTTAAACATTTGTATTTTAGTTGTTTGAAAGTTTTTATTATTTCTGTTGTTATATTTAATAAATCCTGGTTGTAGGGACATTTTGTTTATTCTTCTACAATTATATGACTGTTAGATTTACAATAGGCAGTGGTTTTGGGATTGACATGCACATCACTAGCTCTTGTTAGTTCTTGCATATGAAGTTACTGTAAGTGAAGTTTCTTGTATACACTAGTAAAATTTTAACAGATGTTCCTTTTTCAGCATAGGGAAGTATGTTCATCCTACCACTGATTGATTACCAGGAGGAAAAACAATGATGACACAATATCCCACTGACTTTTATACTTTTACTAACTATCATATCTTCAACATTACAAAACAAGAAACTAAAATATTTAATTATTTGGAATTCCTAAAGATAATTTTCTACTACTTTTTCTAATGTCATGGATTTGTTTCCAAAGAAATAAATTCACTCCCTGTATTTTTCCTTTTTTAATTCACTGTTTGTGTTGTGTTTCTCTCTATCTATCTAAAAATATCAGCCAGTTTCTCTACAAGATAATAAAATTACATGTACATTAAATCATAAAATTAAAAAGGATGAAATTACCCTCCTCAACTTCAGGTGGTTAAATTTTAAAGTTAATTTTTGCTTTATAAGCCATACTTAATAATAAGAGACTTGTTTATTTTCAGTAAACACTTAGTAGATTACATTTTCAGTAATAATTAATTCAAATTAGCAATATATATATATATACTGAATAAATCTTCAAAATGATATAAAATAACCACTTAAACAAATAATTTAATAATTCATTAAAATAAACTCTTCAAACTTTAATAATTTCCTAAGATTCTCTTAAATAAAATATTTAAATATTTTTTATAACATTCAGCTTGGATGGAGTTAGTGGAGGCCTTGTTTGGTAGTCACTATTGATATTCTATGTATGATTACAGACCATACAAATGTATTTCTCTTTGAGAGTTTTTCTGTTCCTTATATAACTACAGCCAGCTGTTTTGTGAAAAGACTAGCCTTTGCATTTTTCAGTATGTTCCACTGACTCTCTTTTTTATCCAGGCATCATTTCCAAGATGTATTTAGATAAGTAATTAGAAATCAAAAATAATGTTCAAATATTTATAAACTGCACAAGAAAGAAAACCTCAAATTATAAAAACAATAGAAATTATATACTTCAAAATTGGAAGAGTTAAAGATTAAAGTAGTGCCTTTATTAAGGCATCACACACATGTGACAACCATATTGATGCTTAAACACTTCATGTTTAATCTGTCAGAGACAAACTAAAGAATAATTCTAGGAATAAGTTTGTCTTTGGTTCATGTTCATTATGAACAACCAAATGAAAGCACAATTTAATTAAAAATTAAACATATTAAATACTGAATTTATATTATTGGAAACTAAGTTAACTTCTTTTAAGGTGTCAATGATGTTCAAACCAGTGAATATTTATTGTAAAGTGTGAAGGCAAAACATATAACTTACTATGCTGTTAACTATTTTGTACACAGGATCAATTTAGCTAGATTTTGTTGGTTGTTGAAGAATTCCAGCAAAGATATTTGACTTTTTTCTGCAAGTGAATGACTGTTATATGGAAAACTTGGATGAGGATTGTTGCTAACATTGTGGAAACCTATAGTTGTTTTCAAGAACCACAGTAATTAGTACTGCTAAAAAAATTATTTAAACTTAAATAACACCAGAAAAATATTTAAAGTAACTTAGGGTCCATTAGAGCACACCCACTGAAAATATGTAATAATTTGGATTATCACAGTCTGAGCTACAGAAAGTATGGAATTGCTAAACTATCATTATTGTTAATAAGACACAGTTTGTCTTGCTGGTTATTTTAGCTACACAACACACAATCTTGTGTCTTGATTAGGTAACTGCATTCCTTAATGTTGTATAAGCAGGCATGGATTTAGTGGAGGGATCTAGAGAGTATGTTAAAAACCACATATTTTTTTTGTATGATTCACGATGTTCCTTTCAAATCTTTAATAGTCTGTATTTAGGTCTGAAGAATGGCAGCAGTCCAAAACATCACCTATCAAAAGATTAAGCTATATGGTGTACTAGTTCAATAGTTCTTAAAAAAAACAAAATTTGTAATCACTACTCATAGTAGATTAATTCAACCAGCTCTATATGATACAGTTTCAGTTTTTGTAACAGTTTCTGTGCTTTTATAAAATTTACATTATATTTTACATTTTTGGATGATGTTGTTCCACTAGGATATAAGCACACAAATAAAGTGCATCAGTTTTAACTTTTACCTGAGAATATTCTTGGTTGTGAGGTAAATGGTGATACTTTCATTACAAAAACAGTGAAAACCAGCTGTGAAATATCATGAAATTTGGATTTCATAATTAAAGGCAATTGTAATAAGTCTGTAATTTACATTATTATAGCCCATCCTAAAAATCACTTTAAAATATTGGTTTAATTTACCAGTAAATTTTTTCTTATATGAGCCAAAGGACTTTCCAAGAACAAAAAATTTATGAAAGTTACAAAAAAAAACACATAACTGTCTAACTACCTTTAGAATATTTTAATTTTTTTTTCTAGTCACAAAATTAAATAGTTTTAAATACAAAAAAATATTGTTATTTAGATGGTTTTATTGTCTGTGCAGAAAGACACACTGTTTTTCTATTGTTTCTTCTTTTTTCAAACACTTTTTAATCAACTACCATTCCTTCATTTCTTGGCAGATTGGCTTGAAACTTGATAGAGTTATACCAATATGTCCGGCATTTTTTTTTATTTAGTCCTTTTTAAGGATTTTATGGGGTGAAAGGTCAAACAACCCCAAAATGTATATTTTGGGCTCCTGTGTGGTTATATTTACAGCAATCAATGTGAAAATTAGCACAATTATAAATTTTCATGTGCCCAACACATTGACATAAAAAAAAGTTCGATTTGCCCATATTAAGGTTTTTTAAGGGGGTCAGAGCTTGCAAAAAAATCATAATTTAAGGGTTAATTGTTAATTATTTGGCCATATTTTACCAGTTTACATGGGATTTGGTACAAAGATACTTTTTTACAAGTCCCATATATATATACACACACAAAAATATGAGATATGCCCATTTTGGGGCATTTTATTGGGTCCAAAGTATAAATAAACCCATAATGTTAGGGGTTTTGATTAATTACTTAAGTTTTGTTTTGACCACTTTACATAAAATTTGGTACAAAGATACTAATACAGTTCTCAAAGATATAGACAGTTTTGGAATTTTTGTCTTTTTGCTGAAATTTTCAGTGAGAAAAATACAATTTGGGGTTTTCATGAACCATTCATACATATGTTAATCAACTTGTATGGGATTTGCAGGTCCCAAGCAGTGATATAGATAATTTTAGTTATTTGGTGTTCAAACTCACCATGTTGGAATTGCATGGTGGAGACATCTTGCATTTACCTCCAAAGGTTGGCCTCATTAATAGTGAATATTATTTTTAAAGAGCCATGTTGTTACAAATGAAAGCAGTAATGGTTATAATACTGTGTGTGTGTGTACATATCAAGAAGTGTTAGCCTCTCATGACATATAAGTACGTTATATTGCAAGTAAAGTTAATTTTGGGTTTTATTGCTTGAAAAGGAAATTTATTGAAATTTAAGATGTTTTTTTATAATGTTAACAGAACTGTAATATATTAATAGACCTCTAATAGTTTTGACTTTGTTGAGGTATGTACTATTATCATAATGGTAAATGTATTATAATAGTGTAATGATTATGAGAATCACCGAATAGTAAACTAAATATTTATTTTTCTCTAGGTGGAGGGTGGCAAGTATTAGAAGGTGCTAGAGAAGGACAAACTCAAGTGGATATTCCTCATAATGAAAATACTGCTTATTGGTGCCATCCGGTTGACATTCATTTAACAACTAGAGGTCTTCAGGGTATGTATTTGATACCCTGTAAAGGTGTATTCAATAAGAGAGATATAATTAACCCATTGCATTCAGATGTGACTCCTTGGTGCTTGTCATGATCTCTTACAGTTAACATTGCATTCACAATTTAATTAAACAGCTTTATTAATGTGTCAATAAACTTGGCATGAAAACATAGTTTATAATTCAGATTTTCATATTATCTAAGTTATAAATTCTTAATTTTAAAAAGAAATATCTAAAAAGTTCTCAATCTTCATTTTTCTTTGTCACATAATGTGTCTGAACTCCGAGTTATCTACTTAAGAATTTTCTAACATTAAAAACTGGCTGCTGCAATTTTCAACCAATTAGGAACATAAATTACACATAATTACAAACAAGAATATTTACACAGTCATGGGTTAGGCTCACAAATTACCAGCTAGAGGGAGTTTACATAAAGAATTCACTTGGATACCGATGTAACATAAAAACATGTATTTATTTATCATAACATTCACATATAAATTCCTGCTTTCTAATAGAATGGGTAATCCTTTAGTAACTCCTGTAATATACACATCAGTAACTCAAGTACACTAAGTAATTTACCAATTAATTTGATTCTATTCAGCTCTGATGACATAATAGAAGTACTATGGTACTAGATAATGTAGAAATGTTAATATGACTGACATGATGCTTGGATGTTGTATTTTTTGCACAGCAGAGAACATGGACATTTTCAGTTTCTTAAGCTAGGGGTGCAGGACAGATCTGGATCTCAAACTCAGAATCAATCAATGCTGTCTGTAGACCTTAGTCTTCATAGTCTCCACTGTTTTTCACATGTCACTATGGTTTTTGGTTTTGTTTTGCACTGAAGCTTCTTGTTTGTATTACTTTGAATTAGGCATGTCTTTCTTAGTGCAACAACTATATTTCCCAGACATGTCTAGATTCCAGGTCACTTGATCTTTGGTTTGAACGTATTCTTCTAGCATAAACATCCACTTTCTAGAGTTTGAATTTCCTTTCATGGTTCCATTGTTTTTTCACCTTTGAACTCTTCCCTAGACATGGTGTATAATGTATCATCCATTCTCTGACAACTGTGTTTTAAATTTAACAAACATCCTTTTGACTGGTTGAATTAATAGCATTTGTTTTATTGTGAGAAAATGAACCACATTTTTTTTTGATATATCAGTCCTGGAATTTTGCTGTTCATTAGACATATGTTCCAGTTAATACTGAAATTCTTTGTTGCTTTATTTGGTCATCTAATGCATGCTATATCTCCATAGTTTATTGTCAAAAATAGTCAATTCCAGTCAGTTTTACAAGAAAATTATAAAAATATATTAAAACATTTGCTAAATAATTGACTGTGTCAATATAAACTTGAATCTCCTACATTCTTAATATGCTGAGATATGAATAAATTTGTCAAACCCATCACAGAATTCTCCGCCATTCTCTCTCTGACATACAAGATTGTTTGCTAATCAAGTTTACATGATTGATGGTCATGTTTATAACCAATAGAGAGCAGATACTCCTTTACATAAATCATATAACTTATTTTTAGTTTTCATGATGTAAACCATTAGTAAGTAGAATTGTTTGTAGTTGATTATGTTTTGCCTCTTTGAATGCTAAAACAATTTTTAACCTATTTATAGCTTACTCAGAAAGCCAGGTAAATTATAGTAGTTTGTGACTTTCTATTCTAATGATTAATGTGTTCTTTATTCAAAAATGAATATTTGAAAGCTACATGAATTCTTTTTTGGACTTAACAAGGCTTATGGAAGAATGTCTTAAATTTTTACTAGAACAAACAAGCTTGGGTAGCAGTAAGTACTAGTAATCCTTGTTCTTATGTACAGTGCCTTGCAAAAGTATTCACCCCCTTGTAACATTTCCATATTTTGTTGCTGTCTGAGCTTGCACTCATGAAACTTAATGGGATTTTATACTTAGAATCTACAAAATCTACTCCAAACTGAGAAAGCTAAAAAACACTGACATTGTGTAAGTAAGTTATATTTTCAATGAAAGTTAGAATATTCTCAGTTGTATAAGTATTCAACCTTTTTGTCCTGGAGTGGTTCAGTCAAAGTCCTGACTTGAATCCAATGGAAAATTTATGGCAAGACTTGAAGATTGCAGTCCATCAATGATCATCAATGAAGTTGTCAGAATAGAGTTTGATTATTAGAGTTATGAATAAAAACAAGTACATTAAATTTTTTTTACATTATTTGTATTTCATCAAAATGTGATTTTATTTATAAGTGTGAATACTTTTGCTGTATACTGTACTATACTGGACCACCATTCATGGACTATCATGTGTAAAGCCTAAGGGGATCATGCCCAACCCTGCTGATCATCAGATTTAATAAATCAGGGTCAATTTGCTTTTAAAAGTTTAGGGAGCTTGGTTCACCTATTGAACTGTTTCCAAAGAACTGTTTCTCAGGGCTCCCCAATGCACATTTTCTCCCAGATTCTACTGATGAAGCTAGGGAGTCCTTACCTCACCTGGTTTCCAGTCACTGGGGTGGTAGAGTGTGGCTTTTCCTTCACAGTGAATTCCTCCACTTTTGGAGAAGAGGGTGTAGTTGGGGGCCCTCCTAACTGAGTCCCTGGATGTTTTTCCCAGATGTCGGTAGGAGTGTCTACATAGGAGCCTACCTGTAATACCAGTTCAGATTTGAAGCTCCACTATCCGGTTGGGGTGTGCATGACCCTTCTGTTTGATCAATATGAATTCAGTACTTTGTTTGTGGAAGAGGGTCCACTATCTCATAATTCCAAATGCGGAGTGGTCCCATATTGAGTCCTTGGTTGAGCACAGTTTTCCACGTCCTTCCCATAATTCCAGGGGGCAAGTGGAATGTACCTTGCCTATACAGTTGGGAAGTGAGGATGAATGTTCATAATTCCAGACTGGATGAGTTCTATTTCCTATGGTTGAGCAAGGCATACACAATCCTGTCATTCTGAGCCTGGGGTATTGCCTATTGGGCTTCTTCAAGTGGAGGAGGAGGTTTATCCATTTTGGTGTTGCTTATGTCCTCATCCTAATTCCAGTGGCTCGGAATGCATCACTCTATGGCTACAGGTTGGGATCCATTCGTAAATATATATAGATATAATGTTTTGGTCCAATTGCCCCAGCCACTAACATGGGATATAGGGACCAAGATCTCTTTAATTCCAACCCCGAGTAGTGGAACCTCAGCTATCCAGTTGGAGCTGGCCTATAGTGATGATCACTCATATACAATTCCACCCACGATACAGGAATTAAGATCAGAGTGAAGAGCATACCTGTTCTGGATTTAGTGGGGTTCTCCACTTGGGTGCCAATCTTCTATTGAAACACCCATGATCTATGCAGATGCTTTCTGTATTGACAATGCCCTCACCGACCCCTCCACCTTATCAATTTGGGATTCTAACTATAAGTGGGAGGGAAGGTATGTATGTTTTGGAAGTTAACATATTCCTAAATTGAAAATGTTTTTCCAATAATACTTACCTCTCTCTCACACTCTCCTGCCCTTCTTCTCCACCAAGAACCAGTGTTAGAGACTGGGATGGAGTCAGTCTCAAAAAAGCGATAACATTATCTGAATGAGGTGCTTATATGCAGTACCAGGATAGAGGGTGCATTTATGTACAAGGAGAGCAATTAAGGAGCAAGTGAGAAATAATCAGACCAGTGCTTAGATGAGCAAAGGAAGAAACTCTGGCAGTTGAGTAATAGTAGTAGAGGTGTGAGAGGAGGTAAGTATTATTGGAAATACATTTTGGATTTAGGAAAATGTTAACTTTTCTGATCAATGATACAGTCATGCAAAGAAAAAAAATGGTATTATTAATTTCCTTTCATATTTTTCAACTTTTCACCATAAATTGATGATTTCACTACAGTTTATGTTAGGGTAGAGAAAAGAAGAAATAAAATAAGTTTTAATGGAGAAAAACTTAATATTTATTTTGAAGGTTGTAGAGAGTAAATCACTTTACAAATAATGTATGAAAACTGTAATATAAAAAGAAGTATTTTTATTTTTAGCATGAAAATTTCCTTTCACTCAGGCTGACTCAATTAAGGCTTTGGAAATTCACAAGCAAACTGTTAGAAGGAATAATTTCTGTAAAAAACTGATTTTTTACATACAGTAGACTAGTAATTTTTACTAAAAGTTTACTAAATTTTTTTACAGAAAAATGGGGTAAATTCTGAACTGTAGTAAACATTAGTATGTATAGCTATTTATATATGGGATTGGTCAGTATGTGGTTAAAAGGTAGGTAGAAAAACCTGCTGTCCACCACAGTGGTGAAGGGAATATATGAAACACACCAATGTGTTAATTAATTTATTTTTGTTTCATTTGTTTTCTAGTTCAAAAACTCTGTGAATTGCATCAGTATAATTTGTGTTTGTACCTTGTCTTATTGTATGGAAGTAAATAGCCAGCACAGGTTGTGTCATGATGAATTTGCTGTGTGACCCACTCGAAACACCTTTCTCAGGATGTTAAATGTTAAAACTATTACATCTTTCCTGGGGTTTTATTTACATTGTCAATGTGCAGAATGTAACAACCTTTTGCTGTTACACCTTCCATTGGCTTATAATTTTGGCTTGATTCTTTTGTATTCACAGAACTCCAATCCTACATTGAAAAAGATCTATTTGAGTAAATAATGCTGCATCTTGCTAACCTAAAATTCAGTACAGAAATACTCATTCAGTGGTGGCCTTGGGCAAAGCAGATTTACCAAATTGCAAGATTAAAAAATGTTCCATAAATATCAACATTTTCAGACGATCACATTATATATAATTCACCTACTATCATATCTGACCAATAAATATTTCTAGATAATTCTACATTTTGAAATGTATTATGAATTTCATGTATAAATTATAGCATCAGGCTGATAACTGGGTTCGAGGAATATCAAAATTGCTTTGCTATTTGATAGTACTCCTCTTT